AATAAGTGCGTCAAATGAGTGAGTATCTTTGATTTAGATTACGTAGCAAGAGTACGCACACGTGCAGATTCCTATATTTTCCGATTTGAATTGCATTTACACGGTATCGAAGTAAGACTTGTAATGGTATTTATTCATAAATGTGTTGTCAAGGCATTCCTATATGAAATCGATTATAACGTAAGTCGGTCAATTAATTATTTTGGTTGGTAGGGTGATCTATTTTTGGCCTCTAGAATGCACTATTGTTCACTTTTAATTTTTTATTTACATCTGCGCGGAATTATCGTGTTGTGTGATGTAAATAGCGTACGTGGAAAGTTCCGCTTTAAACTAGAAAGTTGAATATTTAAAATAATCAGGACACCTTTCATTTGTTGACATTAAATTTCATAATATTATCGCGAACTTGCGTTTGTAACTATGAAATCTGTACTGCAAAACATTTAGCATAGATACGACATATTGTTTTTATAACTTTTTAATTGTATGGTACCCTGAATAGGTTGTATTATTATTCAGTCAGATCATGACCCTTTTTCCTCAACACACATTATCACTGAAGCATGATTCTGAATGATAATGAGAAGAAATGAATAATTTTAGCCTCGAAAACGAAATTACTTTAAAACTTATATTAATCCACTTTTTCTATTCATATAAAACCTCTTTCACTCCACTCTTCATTTTGCTATCAAAATTTCAAATAAAGAATCGGGTATGGGCGGGAAATCGGGAATCAGTCGTTGTTTTGTTTTACTTATTTTTATCTAATCATAAGTTTAGTAAATGTTAAGGGCTTTCCCGGTTTTGATTCATTGACCTCAACTATCTTGTGTTGTGATAAAAATGTAGGTTTCTACATAATAATCCCAAGATAAACATTATCTATCTACTACTTATGCCTACATATATTTGATGTAAGCATCCAGACAGATCAATATTATTTGTCTCAACTTTTTTACTTTGAGTACATAGTTATCATAATACAATTGTTATACTTAGGAGTTATAATGTTTGTTTGCTAATTACTTAATGGCACAAACATAATAAGTATGATCCTTTATTATATATTATCTTCAAGTTATGAGCAAATTATTAGTGAAAAATGTGTGTCTTGAGCAAGCATTGTGATAAATAATCATTTGTTCTCCATGTGAGAAAATGCCTTAACTTAGCAGGGGCTGATGTTGATGACATTGAGGTTAACAGGCGAAAAATGGATTTTACATAGTATAGGAATAATTACATTTGCCTACACCATAATGGATAGAAGGTGGACCAATATCTTGATGTAATATGATTACAATTATACATGTAAATACATGTATACCTAGCTCATATGGTACAAAAATATTGTCTATAATAAATTAACCCTACTAATCTATATATTATTATATAAAAGAAAGTCGTGTTAGTTACTCCACTTATAACTCAAGAAAGGCTGAACTGATTTGGCTGAAAATTGGCGTGGAGGTAGTTTAGAGCCAGGAGAAGGACAAAGGATAGGATAGAATAAGTAGTGTAGGGTAGGTAGAGTAGGGTAGGGTAGGTAGTAGAGTAGGGTAGGTAGAGTAGGGTAGGTAGAGTAGGGTAGGTAGAGTAGTGTAGGTAGAGTAGGGTAGGTAGAGTAGGGTATGTAGAGTAGGGTAGGTAGAGAAGTGTAGGTAGAGTAGGGTAGGTAGAGTAGAGTAGGGTAGGTAGAGTAGGGTAGGTAGAGTAGGGTAGGTAGAGTAGAGTAGGGTAGGTAGAGTAGAGTAGGGTAGGTAGAGTAGGGTAGGTAGAGTAGGGTAGGTAGAGTAGAGTAGGGTAGGTAGAGTAGAGTAGTGTAGGTAGAGTAGGGTAGGTAGAGTAGGGTATGTAGAGTAGGGTAGGTAGAGAAGTGTAGGTAGAGTAGGGTAGGTAGAGTAGAGTAGGGTAGGTAGAGTAGGGTAGGTAGAGTAGGGTAGGTAGAGTAGAGTAGGGTAGGTAGAGTAGAGTAGGGTAGGTAGAGTAGGGTAGGTAGAGTAGGGTAGGTAGAGTAGGGTAGGTAGAGTAGGGTAGGTAGAGTAGGGTAGGTAAAGTAGAGTAGGTAATGTAAGGTAGGTATTCAAATGACGGGAGCGACGCCGCGGGTAAGAGTTAGTATTACAAAATGAGAAAGTTTGTTAGTTTAAATTATTGTGTGTTACTCTACACTCAAAAACTACTGAATAGATTTGAATGATATTACCCATAGAGATAGACTGTCTGGAATACATAGGCTAGTTTTTACTCTGGTACTGTTAGTGAAACTTATTAAAGAATATTTCATTTCTAATTATTACAACTAAGTTTTGAACAAATAAAGCTTAGAAAGATAATAATATGATAACCAACACAGTCTAATTTCAAATTCATAGGAAACTTAATTTTGCAAATTACTAGATAGTTTAATTAAAACAAAGTCCCTTTCTCTGTCCCTATATCTCTCTCTATGTATGCTTAAATCTTTGAAACTATGCAACATATTTAGATGCAGTTTCTTTTAATGGATAGAGTGATTGAAGAGGAAGGTTTATATGTATAATTACATCCATTATATAGTGGAGAAATTTAGTATAAGCAGTGTTTATCTTTGCAAAGCTGGGGTGGTTAACTAGTTGGAGAATCATTATGACTGTCCATTACTATATTTGTGTAGTAGTCAAGAATTCAGTAATTTTCCAATCAGAATTTATCTGTTATCATTGGACAGTCATTTTAGTGTGGGAGAGCCATGCTTCGGCACAAATTGGCTGGCTTGATTATAATGATATCACGATCAAAGACTACAGCGTTTTGTTTTGCTGAATGAGTGAGGTTACAAGAAACCCTAACGTTTCCCGCCCCCATCCCCGCCCAATCATTGAATATCCGCAACCCTTATCCCCAAATTACCGGCAACGCACTATTGACTCCTTTGGTTTGGTGTTGCGGGTGTCCTTGGGCAGCGCCGATACTTGTCCCGATTTCTCTGATGGTAAGCAATCGGCGCTGCCCTTGGACATTCAATGAAACAATGACCCTTTCGTGCCGAAGTATGGCTCTCCCACACGTATAAGTGATCAGAAGTTTATTTAGTGGCATATAATTACGCGGGTATTAATACGAAAAATAATTGTTGAAATACCTTGGTGCAAGGTACCGTGCAAGGTCGAAACGTCACGGGGTTGCGAGTTCATCGCGGCCTGGGCCCAGAGCAGGAGAAGGAACGGGGGGGTTTTTAGTCAGTAAGAGTCTGACACTCTCTCTCGCCTTACCCTGGGCGGGAGAGGTCATTTGACGATTTTTCCCTGACCAAAAAAAGCTTACCTAGTACTTATATAAATAATTATTTTAATAATTTTTCGCGTTAATACCCGCGTAATTTTATATTGTAAATATGAAACGCGAAGTTTAAAAGTTAGTATTGTTTAGTGTCATCAAGGGATTGTGAAGATGTTGGCAGTATTTTACATTGTTACAATAAAGATTTAGTTATCCTAGCTCTTTGATTGAATGATTGTAGTCATCCTGAACTAGCTCCAGTCATCGCTGACTGATCTTTCATCTTCCTATATTAAAATGTGCATTCATCTCAACTCAACGTGTGATTTCTACCGAAAAGGCGGGAATGGGGAAATATACTTTTTTTTTTACAAATGTTGCCCTATTTTACAAATTTATTTATTACCTCCGAGATTTTGAGTTGCAAACATCATTAGTACTACCTATTTCTTTTTGACATATAAGTAAATAAATGTATTTTTTTTTATTTCTTTCGAGACTGTGTGTTGAGAGGTTTAGTAAAGACTAGATTAATAGGGCTCGTTTTTAGACTGTATTACGATTTAAGAGTTTCACCTTACCTTTTTTTTAACCTCGGATGTGTTCTGTATTTAAATATTCGTACTAATTAGCGTCGAAAACAGCAGAATATTATTTTCACCAACCTACAAGGAACGCGTTGTGATATAATTCTAACACGTGCTGTGAATATCGACTTATGAGACATTTAGATATCCTCTACAAGTTTCAAGTCACAGCGGGACTCTTATTCAGTGTTGCACGCCGTTCATGAAGTTCTTTGTTGCTTAAGCTTTTTCTTAGTTAATATCACGTTAATCTTTATTTTCAAATAAATGTAGTATGTCTCACGATAGTGTTAAGCACGGATCAGACTCCCAGATTCGCGCCCTTAGTCCCTTAGATCGGGTGGTATGATTGCTGTTAAGTTGTTCATCACCATCATCAGCCGGAAGACGTTCAGTGCTGAACAAAGGCCCCCCCCTTAGTCTCCCACGTTGAACGACAACTCACCACCTACAACCATTGGCTCCCCGCGACTCTGACGATGTCGTCTGTCCACCTAACGTGAGGCTTTCGGATCTTGTCGCGTAAAGAGACTTCGTTTCATCGCGTATTGACCGACTCTAACTCTTTGAAGGCCAGAAGTTAGGTTGACCCGCTTTTTTTAATTGTGTGGGGAGAATCATCAAATGACTTCTACCATGGGGCGAGGGGGACTGTCTGACTGTTATTGACTAACCCGCCGGGTGCTTCTCCTGATCCAGGCCGAGGCCCTCTGTGGTGGTCTATTGGCTTTTGAGTTGCGGAACGCAATCGCCGGTCTAGTTCTGGTCGGGCGGCGACCTACCCTTACTCGCCGTCCGCAGACCAGCGCTTACGGTGGCCAGAGATCGTCGCTTAATCCCCGACGCCCTGAATGTCGCCTACTGCGTAGGTTGGGGCGCGTCCTCGGTTGCTCTCATCACTGCGACTGCCCTAAGTCACGCTTCCCTATATAAAACCGCTTTACTATATTATAAAAATAAATAATTTTTTTTTCTGTTTTTCCAGTTGCCGAGAAGACCCGAAATGAAGATAGTCACAACACCACAGCACACACACATTAAATCTTCCTATTTACAAGTCACATTTAACAAATTATACCTATAAGCTGAAAACCCTAAGTGTTACAATCTATCGCTTTAAGTTTTTTTTTTTAACAAATTAGTACTAAGATTGCTGTTTAGTTAGTTTAAAAATATGAAAATACCAGACACTACCGCTAACGTCGGCGCTTATTACGGCAACGAGGAGAATGGACACTGGCAGGTTTGTTTATATTTGTTTAAAAAAATTATTTAATATGTCGGCAAACGAGCCCACGGATTACCCTGATGGTAAGCAATCAGCGCCGCCCATGGCAACAGTAGTAACGAGTTTGTTGCTGACCTTTTTCGATTTGGGGATTAGAGGGGAGGAAAGGTTTGGGCCTCCGGTAACCTCACTCAAACGGCGAAACAACACTGTGTTTCTGTGAGGCCGTGGTATCACTCCAGTCGAGCTGACCCATTCGTGCCGAAGCATGACTCTCCCACACTTAATTAATTATGTTTTACGTCTTACGAGCTAACTTGAGCAGTTTCAAGCCATACCGGGGCTTATATTCAGATCTGTGGCTGACGTAGCGCAACCAATGAATAGTTATAAAAGTATGTTTAGTTAGTAAAAGAGATCTTTGAATTTATTTGATGAAAAGTTTATCGATCCTTAAATATCTGAAAGCCTGAAAGCCTTATCCCTAAAAGGGTAGCAACGCAATCGTAACTTTTTAGTTTTTGCGGGTGTCCATAGGCGGCGCTGATTGCTTACCATCAGATAATCCGTCAGCTCGTATGCCGATCAATTTATAAAAAATGGCGATTATTATTATGATTTTTATTTCTGTTAATTATAACCTTCTTTCTCGTTTTCAGCCAAACGGCGTGATAATCGATAGCGGTGTCGGTGGCGGCGTGGTTGGCAGTGGTGACGCGGGTATACACCGCCCACCCGTCTATCCTGTTCACATACCCCGCGCACACATGCCTGGTAAGTCGATTTAAATAATTACATCATTACCCTATAAGTGCCCGAAGCTGAGCAAAGGCCTCTTCTCACACGGAGAAGGTTTGAGCATTACACCACGCTTGCTTAAGGTGGATTGGCGATTTCAAACTTTACTGTAAGTACAGGTTTCCTCACGATGTTTTCCTTCACCGTATGTCAGTGGTGTCATGGTGAAAAAACCTGGACTTATGATTTTAAATTAACGCCAATCTCCAATTCGCCTTGAGGGGGCGTGGTGATTAATGCTCAAACCTTCTCCGTGTGAGAAGAGGCCTTTGCTCAGCAGTGGGCATATGATGATTGTTAAATTGTTAAACATAATGTTATTGAAATTAAGGAAAAAAATCTGAATATGTAAGCTGTAGAATTCACTTTAAATATAATTACAAAAAAAAAAAAATCGAAAATGTTTCGTCATGGAACTTGTAAAAGATTTTTTTTTAATCTTTTTTTTTCTTTTTCTCCAGGTTACGTGATGGCCGGGGCATACTACCCTCCGGCTGCATATCCCCCAGTACCAGCTCAGCCACAACCAGACGATTTCGCGGACTACATGTGGATGGAAAACGAAGAGGAGTTTGATAAACAGGTAAGGAAGAGTGTTCTCGTAATTTGACTATAAGCCCCGGCGTGACTTGAAAGTAGTCGAGCTCGATCAGTTACGAGATTTGCGTGAGTTTATAATAGACTAGCTACTCTCGCGCGGTTTTACCCGCTGCTCAGCTCCATTTGATTGTAGCGTGATGTTTTATAGCCTATAGCACTCAGGAACATTGTAGCTATCTATCAGTGAAAGAGTTTTGGAAATCCGACCAGCGGTTCTAAAGATTACCCCCTACATACAAACTTACAAATTTTACCTCTTTATAATATTAGTATAGATTCAGTTACTATGTTTTTGATAGTTTTTTACAAAAATGAAAACCGGTTTTTTTCATCATGTGAAAACTTTACTTACTCTTTTAAAAATATAATCATGTTAATTTATATATGTGGATGGGCTTACGATGAGTTACCCTGGCTAGTTTTCAAGCCATGATATGAAACAATGTAACAACCAATATATTTTTTGTAAGTAGGCCAAAAAACATCTCTTTTACACGTCAAACAAATTATATGTGAAAACTAGATGAAGCCGGCATTTCCCGTCTGACTACTCTGAGAAGAAATGCTGAAACAAACTCTTTTCAAGTCCAGACAATGCAAAAATAACATAATGTGAGAGAACCGTGCAAGTTCATTCTGTAGTGGTCTTTTAAGGAAAGAACCCAGCTATGGTCTTAAAGAAAAAAATGATCCAAATAATGGTTAGAATACGTGGCTTTCGGCTTCGTTAAGTGTCTTTTTACACCCTGTATGATACACCACATTTATAATAGTATTTTTTTTTTTTTTTATTTGTTTATTTAAAAGTTTACAATATAATCTTTACAGGTGTACACCCAATGCGTTTTATATTGTTATACATGTGAAACATTTGAGAATAATGAACAATTAAATCCAACCTAAAATTAAGATCATATAAATTAAACTACCTAGTCAAAGAAAATATTATATTTGTTTGATTATAGGTGATGCAGCAGTTGGAAGAGGAAGCTCTTATGGAGCAGTGTATTGAAGCTATGCTGGAGGATGAACAGAGAGAAAGACACAATAGACCCACTGCCAACGGGCACAACAACCAACATTACCCAACGTAAGACTATTTTTATCACCTCATCATCATCATCAGCCTATAAGTGCCCACTGCTGAGCAAAGGCCTCTTCTCATACGGAGAAGGTTAGAGCATTAATCACCACGCTTGCTCAATGCGGGTTGGCGATTTTAAACTTATAATTAGAAATTACAAGTCCAGGTTTCCTCACGATGTTTTCCTTCACCGTATGTCAATGCTGTCTAAATAATCATAGAAAGTACATATAACTCGGAAAATGTCACATTGGTACTTACCAGGTTTCGAACCTACACCCTTTAGCATGAGAAGCGGGCTCCTTAACCTCCGGGCCACCACGACATTTTATATCCTACTTTCTTTTTTGTGTCTGTGTACTAATTTCTAGCTAGTCTCACGCGGTTTCACCCCCTGCTCAGCTCCTAAAGATCATAGCGTGATGTTTAATAGCCTTTCTCGATAAATTGACTAACAAACACAAAAAGAATCGTTTAAATCAAACCAGTCGTTCCGGAGATAAGCGCGTTCAAATTAACAAACTCTTCAGCTTTATAATATTAATTAACTAGCTTATGCCCGCGACTTTGTTCGCGTGTAATAGTGACTTTCTACAGATTTTTCGTGTAAAAATATTCTATTCGTATATTCGTATATTCTACGTCGCTTCTCGAGGTCCTAACTATGTCTGTACCAAATTTCACTGAAATCGGTTCAGTAGTTTAGGCGTGAAGAGAAGACAGACAGATAGATAGAGTTACTGTCGCATTTATAATATTAGTTTGGATGGAGTCAATAGAGTCTTAGACTCTTATTTTTTTTTTTTAACAAATTGTCTCTGCATTGCTCTCATAAGGGTACAACAAAAATAAAACTGTCACAATTCTCATATGGGTTAAATGTATTAAAAACTAATACCAACGCACAATGTGCTCTAACTGCGTACTACGCATATGCCTATCGTGGCTACGCTACGGTATCATCATGTGGGGCCACAGTGTCCATGCTAAAGATCTCTTTATTGCTCAAAAGAAATGTCTGCGAATTATTTATAACATTAAACCTAGAGATAGCTGTAAACCATATTTTAAACGTGAGAAAATACTAACATTGCCGTCCATCTATATACTAGAAATAGCCACTTTTGTAAAAAAAAATATCAATATGTTTAATTTTAATAAAAACGAACGCCGGAAAAACAAATTAATCTTACCTGCACCTAGACTACAAATGTATAAAAATAGCCCAGAATACCGCAGCATTCAAATCTATCTATAACAAGTTACCTGAGGAAATACGGTCAACCAAAACTCTCTGTATATTTCAATCTAGAATAAAGTCCTAACTACTTAAAAAATCTTATTATAGTATTCAGGAGTACCTTGAAGATAAGAATTGTAGTTATAATTGCAAAATTATTCCTCGATTGTAATTTAAGTTTTATGGTGAATTTATTTTAAACTTGTACCTTATAATTATTTATTTATTTTATATGATATTAATGTTCTTTGCTTTTCACTTAATTTTATTATGCTTTTACCTTTTGTTTTCTAATATTTGATTTCGTCCAAGGATTTTGTGTTTTCATGTGTAAAATTATAAATATAAAATGGTTATTATATAGGTAATAGTTATTATATGGGTAACACTATAGAATTGAATAGTTATTATATGTATAGGTAACAGTTATAGCTTTAAGAAGTACCTAGTAATAATTTTTAGCTAACTTTAATAACGTAGTGAGTTAATGTGAACTATATTTTATAATAATGCATAAAAGTGTTTGTGATATTGAAGTGATAACTAATGTAATAAAAAATATAACATGTATTATTATCACAGAACAGAAAATTAAGTAGAAGTGCCCCTACACTCTTTCAAAAGGAAAACCAGTGTCGCCAAAATCACACATTCGCAAATCAAATTGTCCATTACACACATAAAAAACAGCTATATAATTGGATAAAAAGATGAAACGGAACTTTAGCAAATCATCTTCTAAATGTTGTTAAAAATTGAGTCTTATAACAATGAGCGAAAGTTGTTATCATTTCACATGTCACAATCAATAAAGGCGTCTATCGTGTAAAAAATTAAATAAAACAATTTACAAACGGATTCAGCCACTCAACGCTAGATGGCGCTGTAACAAATTCATTCTATTCAAAACGCTAACTTCTTTGAAATAGATGTCATATTTGTATGCACTTGTACCAATAGACATTTCCTTTTTTGCTACTCAGATAGGGCAGGATATCCCAATATATCGATGTTTTTGTATTCGTGTGAGCAATATAATTTATCGACACGATATACCTACAAATGATCAGTAATGAAAAAGCTTCTAATAGAAAAAAAGAAAAATATTAACATATTTTTTGAAGATCTAATGTTTTTTGGAGATGTTCAAGTTATTATTAAAGATTTCGATTTTAACATATAAAAGCACTACGCGTTCCTACAAGTTTTATCTCCTTTCCAACTAAAATAGAATCATTAAAATCGGTTCATAAATAACGGAGACGAAAATACAAAAAAAAAAAAATGTTATAGTCGAATTGAGAGTCACTCTCCTTTTTGGAACTCTGATAAAAATCATGTACAACATCTATACTTATAATAAATCTGTAGAGAATTCAATTCTGTACATTAAAATATATTTTCAAAATAACTACCAGGGGGTGATTAGTGATCGATACTGATGCCAAAAATGCAATCAGTAAAAATTTTGTCTGTCTGTCTGTATGTTCTTTAGAAACAAAAACTACTTGACGGATTTTAACAAAACTTGGTACAATTATGCTTTATACTCCTGGGCAGGTTATAGAATACTTTTCATCACGCTACAAATAATAGGAGCAGAGCAGTGAAGGAAAATGTTGGGAAAACGGGAGAAGTTACTCCCTTTTGTAAGTTTCAGTCGCGTGTGTAACCTTAATGGTTAAACTTACATAGAAATTATGTATGACGGAAATATTTTAAATAAAATTGTCTAAAAAAAATGTTTTACAGCATATGTCTATCTTTTATGGTTAACTCACAATAGCACGTGTAACTCCTGATAGCTTAGCAATTCGGATAATAAGACATAGCGCCGTCGCAAGTGAACACTGAATCATGGTATAAGAATTATTTTTGTGTAGCGGTTGCCGTGCTCGACACGATGCGGTATAAAATATAATATAATATAGGTTTTATCAAATATTTGTAACTCTTACCTATTAGTTAGATCCGTACCTTTCTATCTATGGACGGACGGACTGCGGAGACTTAGTAAGTAATAGGGTATTTACCCATTGGAGATGTACCCATAAAAATGAGACGATAAATACCAAATTTTATGTATACTTAGATTTTGTTCTATTGCTATTTGCTGCTTTTTATCAACACAGCACGCGGGCGAAGCCGCTGGCGAAAACTAGTTATAAAATAAAAATGGTCATTAACCACCCGCACCTGCCACAGACGGATGCACGCTGTGTGTGGTTAAAACGTTGATGTGTCTGTGCAATCTTAGTTAAACATTTATGAATTATACACAAAAATTGTCAAAAATCAATTTTCTGAACGATGATGATGAAAAATTATCGATATGAACCTATTTTACGAATATGTCGCATCCCTAAATGAGTAGCGTCGAAACTACTAGAATGTATTGTATATAACGTCACATAACGAACAAGTAGATTTAAACTTAATTGTAATGAAAATAAGGCCCTTTATAGTTTGCATTGAAGTAATGAAATGTGATATTATTTACATTTAAATCAAATATATTTAAAATTAACAAAGGTTAATACTCAAAGATGATACGATACACCACCACAAGACTCATCTTTTTTTCTGCTTACTTTTTTGCAGTTGAAAACCGCACAACAAGGCATAATTTCTAATATATTTCGTGTTTCTTAGAGGCAACCATGACAACCAATCATGACAACGGATCGAACGATTCTGACAACAAATGTGCCAAAATGTTGTATATCTACTCATCATGTTGGTTAGCGCGCGATGTCTGAGCGGCACTTCCACTGTATTTTCTATTCCGTGATTATTATCTAGTTATAAGTTAAATTGCTGCGCCCTAACAGGGCAATGTACTGTACTGGCTGTATGTTATACTTGACATTATATGTACATTGTGCAATATGAATAAATAAATAAATAAATAATGTATACTAAATAATCATTAGGACTCATTTTTCAATGGTTAGATAAAAGTTACCTGGGGAATAATTATGTTGCTGTCGCGTCACAATGTTTGTATAAGACAGAGACAGCAACAATTTTATTCCTCAGATAACATTTATCTGACTATTGATAAATCTGCCCTTAGTGAAACTGTACCTAATACAAATATTTTTTTTTAAAGGAGTAACGATGGAGTTTCTTGTTCGTTCTTCTCCATTCGAAACTACAATTTGGAATGAGCACCTAGCTTCACTGACGAACAGACTGACAGACTACTATTCTATTTTGACGTTTCAAAAGTACCTATTTATGGTTTAGTTGGAATAAATGTTTTTGACTTTGACTTTGAGACTTTAAGAAAATGTAAATTTATATTTTTGCTTTACAGAACAAGTAACGGTGCGCCATCCCTTTCCTTAGAAGAGACAGTATCGCGGTCGACCCTCAACCCTCTAGCAGCCGAGTTTGTGCCCACAAGACCCCTGCCCACCGCCACAGGTAATTATTTTCACGATCAGACGGATTACCTGATGGTAAGCAATCAGCGCCGCCCATGGACACCATAAAAGTTATAAGTGCTTTGCCGTTGGTGTTTTATTTTATGTGATACCAGCTACTCTCGCGCGGTTTGACTCGCTCGGCTCCTACAGATCGTAGCGTGATGTTTTCAGGAACATTGTAGCTATCTATCAGTGAAAGAATTTTGGCAATCCGACCAGCGGTTTCAAAGATTACCCCCTACATACAAACTTACAAATTTTACCTCTTTATAATATTAGTATAGACTAGCTGTTCTGGTAAACTTCGTTCTGCTTCAAAATTAACTTAAGTTTTCTGACCTTTTAAATCTTCTCTGGTCTTGGACGAATTTGACAAGACCAAAATTAGCCAAATCGATAAAGGCATTGTTGTCGGCAAACGAGTAGCAAAACGCCGATAGATTACCTGATGGCAAGCAATCGGCGCCGCCCATGGACACACGCTACACCAGAGGATAAATGTAGTTATAAGTTTGTTGCTTCTAACGATCAGAAAAATCACGTTTTGTTAAATGTTGGCACAAAAAATAAGCGCACTGATTACCTGATGGTAAGCAATTAGCTAGTGTTTTGTAACCGTATTGGGATTAGGGTTTCGGAGTCTAACACACGGTTTCCGAAAGGCCGATCAATGTTAAAATCAATTTAATCTCTTGTCAAGTCATCTGATTGGTTGACTGAATTATCAACAACCAATCAGATGACTTGACAAGAGATTTGACACCTAGTTAGTTGATTTTAACATTGATCAGGCTTTCGGAAACCGGGTGTTAGTTAGGGATGGGGGAGGAAAAGGTTGAGCTTTTTTTTGTGAGGGAAAACCATCAAATGACTTCTCCCATTCAGGGTGGGGCGAGAGAGTCAGACTCTTTGAATAAAAAGCTCTCCCGTTTCTTCTCTTGCTTGCGGCCGAGGTCACGGTGCCTCATTGCGCTTACCCCTCCACCCCGGCTGAACATCAGCCCTATAGGGCCCCGTCTGTGGTTGTCTATAATTGGCTCTTTGAGGCGCGCGCATAACGCTACGAGCTGTCCACTCGGATGGGGAACGATTGTACCTGATCTATATTATGTTTTACAGATGAAAGACAAGCCCCCTCAGAAGCGTCTCCAGCGCCTGTACAGCCGGAGCCCCCCACAGAAGTAACCCCAGTCCCCACCGAAACTAGTGCCGATGATGCAGTACACGATACAGAAGGTAAGCATGCATATCATCATCATCATCATCAGCAGCCTATAACTGCCCACTGCTGAGCAAAGGCCTCTTCTCACATGGAGAAGGTTTGAGCATTACACCACGCTTGCTCAAAGCGGGGCATTACACACGCTTGCTCATAGTCGATTGGTGATTTCAAACCATATTATAAGTCCAGGTTTCCTCCCGATGTTTTCCTTCACCGTATGTCAGTGGTGTAATCGTGAGAAAACCTGGACTTATGATTTTAAATTAATTAGTGCCTTGAGCGGTGTCTAAATGATCGTAGAAAGTACATATAACTCTGAAAAAGTCACATTGGTACTTGCCAGGCACAGACGACTCGACGAAAATGGCTAAAAGACAGTATCGCGGATATTATCTTTATTAATATTCGTATTTTGTTTCTAGTATTTATTTTAACTGTACACTTCATTACCCATGGCCAAGTTTCTTTTTTTTATATACATTTCCATCTTAAGGTTGTCTGGAAGAAATCCCATTGTAATCTTAACATTCGGTCATAGTATCCAATGTATTGCTATTGGGTGTATGTGTGCAGTAAAGTATAATGACGGCGCCTCGATTATTTAAATTGAATTTTGAAGGAGGTTTTATCACAATTCATCGGACGAGGGTACAATGAATCGTACTCTGGCGGAACGTCAAACAGACAGTTCTGCGTGCGCATTATGGTGGTGAGCGCTGTGACTCTATCTGAGACGGATCGCCGACGTCCGTTATTTTTGTAGTTTCTTCGGTCTGATTATAAAATCCTACGCCCTGCGATGGACTGTGGAGACGATGATCGGGATGTTGATGTTTGTACCAACCCCCCGGTGACTTCATATATATAACTAAACTAGCTACTCTCACGCGGTTTCACCCGCTGCTCGCCTCCATTTAATCTTAGAGTGATATTTTATAGCCTATGGCACTCAGGAACATTGTAGCTATATATCAGTGAAAGAATTTTGGTAATCCGACCAGCGGTTCCAAACATTACCCCCTACATACAAACTAACAAACATACAAATTTTATCTCTTTTATAGATTAGTATAGAAGTATAGACTACTCGAGCTTTCGCGGTAATTATTTTTGTACAATATATTTTTCTTCTGTCACAGAATCACAACAGCCGCAGAAGGAAACGCCAGAGGTCAGCGCAGCGGAATCAATAGACAAGACACAAGAGAAACGGCCCAAAGACAAGAAAGATTCCAAATCAAAAGTAGAAGTTAAGAAGACTGTCAAACCAGAAGTTAAGAGCAAGGTTAGTGGTATTAATATATATATTTGTATGTCTTACTAGCAGCCCGCCCCCGCTTCGCACGGGTTCAACTATCTCGCTATCAAAGGGTCACTTTTTCCTAATCTTCCTCTCTACTTTTCTAATACTTTCTTTGATAAGAACCTTCTCCTGACAATAACAAACACAACAAAAAAGAATTAGCAAAATAGGTCCAGGCGTTGTTGAGTTATGCGCTTACCAACACATTTAGCGATCCATTTTTATATATAAAGATTTTATGGTATATAGGTCGGCAAACGAGCTGACGGATTACCTGATGGTAAGCAATCAGCTCCGCCCATTGACATTCGCAACAACAGAGGAGTTGCTGCGCTGCCGACCTTTTGGGATGAGGGTTTTGGAGATTTAGAGATTGGGGGAGGGGAAGGTTTGGGCCTCCGGTAACCTCACACGGCGCAACACATCTCTATACTAACAGCACGGTTGACGCGGTAGTTGGGCAACTGGCTGCCGCGCAGCGTATCCCGGGTTCGATTCCCGCACGGAACAACTCTTTGTGTGATCCACAAATTGTTGTTCCGGGTCTGGGCGTGTGTGTAAACGCACTTACGACACAGGAAAAAAATCCTAGCGTGGGGCAACGTTTCCTTAAAAAAAGTTCTTTCACGCCGGTATTCTGTGAGGCCGTGGTGTCACTCCGGTCGAGCCGACCCATCCGTACCGAAGCATGGCTCTCCCAATGATTTGAATAATTGGTTTAATTATTTTTTTTGCCTATAGGTGCAAAGCAAACCGCAGGCGGCTAAATCGGAGACGAAAGTCGCCCCCAAAAAGAAGGAAGTGAAAACTGTTAAGAGCGAAATTAAAGTTGAAGAGAAGAGCGAAGACATCAGTGATGTCAAGGTAACATATAAATAGTGTGCACGATAGAATCATTACATAGACGTAATGGCGCCGCCCGCCGTTACTTAAAGATAAAGATATATTTAATTCGCAAATATGGGTAACAATCAAGATGACAAATTTTTAACAAGCACAACCATATTTTACCATTGGGCATGCAAAATATAAAAACATTGCTCGATAAGTTAAATAAAAAAATTAAAATTAAAACAATCTACAGCAAAAATACAAACTTAATACAGACTAATAACCTATTCAATTCAATTCAATATATTTATTGCATTCCACAATGTGAACTTAGGTGGTAGGGTACATAAGAATTTACATATATTAGTTTAAGAGCATTGTGGGCCCTGTCGGGCATAACAACATTTATTTATTTATTTATTTATTTATTTTTTTTATGAGGAGGACTAGTATTTGTACATATATGTTTACAATTTTAAGTAGGTTTATATAGCTCTTTCTATCTATACTAATCTATACTATCTATACTTATATTATAAATTAAATGCGAAAGTAAATGTCTGCAGGAAGACACCATTCCACGCGAACGGAGTCGCGGGCAAAAGCTAGTTATACATGTATTTTTAACATTTGTTTCTTTTTTTATTATTATTATAGTTTATTTAGTGAATTTATCATTTAATAAGTATATACTTCTTACTTATATGTTTATTCTATATTATTAATTATTTATTGTTAATAACAATATAACTCAATAGCAATTTACACTTTAAGTTAGACATAAACTGAAGCAGGTTAACAATGACATATAAAATCTTTTTCATTTAGAAACTCGTTTATGTTATAATATGCTTTCATTACTAAAAAGCTACGAAGCCTTTTTTTTAAATAATAGGAACTTTCCTGTCTTTGTTTGGTTTAAACCCAATGACGTATTATATATAGACACGTCATGAACCAACATCGCGGCGCTTAAAAACGGCGAAAATACTAGATAACTACTTCTACGAGTAAAGAAAGGGAAAGAAAATATGACATCGTATAGTGGAATGCTTTTGCTAGAGGGATATAAATATACATCTTCAGTTATGCCGACGGCACGTGACTATACCTTCATGCGCCGGCCGCCTTAAGATGGCGGGCGCCGGCGTCGAAAAAATAAAATAAAAATAGGTTGTTTGGTGAACTTACGCATGATCTTGATGAACTTTTGGAGTATAATTTGTACATGGTCTGAACACACACGACGGCATGCTTTCTTTATGTTTCGCACAGGTTTACACACACGATATAAATTAAAAACAAACGTAGCGTCGCGCGGCAGGTTGGTGCGTAACTAAGCGCGATGTTGTCAATTGCCTTCATTTCATGTTGTCATTTTAGAGCGCGGACAACGTATCTATAGTTTTATACATCATTGGTTTAAAACGACTATAAACCCGTTAGTAGTAGGGCAACGGAGCCACGAGCCCAGACAAGTACAAACACGTTCTCGCGGCTCGGTCGCTTCACGCATCGCCATTGGCCAATACAATTAAAATGGCCACACCACGCCCCCCGCCTGTCAGCGTCTATAAAACGCCAGACCATGGCGATGCGCATCGCAGTCAAACAAACAGTTTTGGGTTTAAAAGTGTCACCACCTTGTTACGTGTAAAAAAACTCTAAAATTTCGTATGTTATGTGTAAAAGTTTGTAAATTTAATAAAAATCCATAATCAAGCTATCGAGTCTCAATTTATAGTATTTATACAGTCCATTCACCACAACTAGTTACTCTTGTCTTGTCATCATCAGCCTATAAGTGCCCACTGCTGAGCAAAGGCCTCTTCTCACACGGACAAGGTTTGAGCATTAATCACCACGCTTGCTCAATGCGGGTTGGCGATTTCAAACTTATAATTAGAAGTTATAAGTCCAGGTTTCATCACGATGTTTACCTTCACCGTATATCAGTGGTGTCTAAATAGTCATAGAAAGTACATATAACTCGGAAAAAGTCACATTTGAACTTGGCAAGTAGAGGGTGTAGGTTTCGAACCTACACCATCATGCATGAGAAGCGGGCGCATTAACACCCGGGCCACCACGACCGACACTCTTGTTTTAGCGTGATGTTTTATTGCATACTAGCTACTCTCGCGCGGTTTCACCCGCTACTCGACTCCATTTAATCGTAGCGTGATGTTCCATAGCCTCTAGTACTCAGGAACATTGTAGCTATCTATCAGTGAAAGAATTTTGGCAATCCGACCAGCGGTCCCAAATATTATCCCCTACATAAAAACTTACAAATTTTACCTCTTTATCATATTAATATAGACAAAGTACCTCTCTTTCGATGTGTGCTAAAATCTTTAAAACAACACAAAAGATTTCGATGCGGTTTTAAAAAAACTAGAGTGATTGAAGAGGAAGGTTTATATGTATAATAACATCTATTAAATAGTGGAGGAATTTAGTATCAGTATTACATCCGTGCGATGACAGAGCGGGTCGCTGGTACAACTTAGATTTGTTTAATACATACCAGTAGTTCTTGAGATAAGGTTTTTTAAACAAACTTGCTGTACAATATATGTAGGTATATATTCTTGTACCACTATATCTATAAGTTTTAATCTTTAAAAAATCTTATTTTTTTATATTTTTTTTCTAGCAACCCCAACCAGCCCCAGTAGAAGAAGCACAAGCGACATCTGGCTTTAAACCAATAAACTACGCGGCCGCGGCGAAAGCGAACAAACCTAAAAAACCACCGACAACCACTACAGCAACCACACCTACAGAAAAACCACTACCCAAGGTTGACAAACCAAAAGCAACCGAAAAAGTCGAGAAAAAGGACAAACCGAAAACAGAAAAAGTAAATGTTCAAAGGAAAAACTCGGCGAAGTAAGAAAAAAAGGTGAGCTTTTTGACTAAAAAATGAAAAAGAACCTTTTTCGGTAAAAAAAATATATTGCCTGTGTACAAATTTTTATCTGGCAACACTGTCTAAGGCAAACGTATTTGCATACAGCCTTGTACAGCCTGTGTATAGTTTGAAGTTTGAAAATAGTTGTGATATTTCCATTTTTTGAAGTAAATTTGCATTTTTTTTCTTTGGAGGAAATGATGATAATGAATAAAAAAAATTAAAATTAATAAAAAAATAACAATTAAAAAACGATATATAGTGTAAAAATAATGTATGGTAACACACATTTTGTGAATAACTAGTTTAAAAAAAATATTCAGTAGACATTTAGTTTTTAAATTGAGTTTTTTTTTCAATTTGAGACTGTGGTAGTGGTGTATAGGAAACATTCTAGGACTTGGATATTTTCAACTTTACCTATAAGATACTAGCTACTCTCGCGCGGTTTCACCCGCTGCTCTGCTCCGTCAGATCGTAGCGTGATGTTTTATAGCCTATAGCACTCGGGAACGTTGTAGCTATCTATCAGTGAAAGAATTTTGGCAATCCGACTAGCGGTTCCAAAGAAAATTTGTAAGTTTGTATGTAGGGGGTAACCCTACATACAAACTTACAAATTTTACCTCTTTATAATATTAGTATAGATAACTACTTCCGTAAATCAACTCGGGAAAGCTCTACTAGTTTTATACTTGTCGCATCGTCGCGACGCGGACGCTGCTCATGAATAAGAGTCCCGTTGTGACTCGAAACTAGTCGAGGTTTTCTCAGTTAATGTCACGTAAGGGCTGATTTTTCAATGGTTAGATAAAAGTTATCTGGGGAATAATTATGATGCTGTCGCGTCACAATGTTTGTTTAAGACAGTGACAGCAACAATTTTATTCCTCAGATAACATTTATCTGATTATTGAAAAAATCAGCCCTAATTTAAAAACTAATACAGATTTAAGTTGAACCTTAAGTCAACTTTTTAATAATTCAGCTGTTTATACCTTTTCACTGGCAGTATAGTCGACTGTACTATATTCTCTGTTGCCACTCAAGAAAGAAAAAAAAACTTGTCTATGCCTTCGTCATCTGACGTTTCTTCTGACTCTGATACACGTAACGAAAATCTAGACACAGTCTCAAAAGAAAAAAAAATTAAAATAGCCTATAACAAAGGCTGTCCAATTAAGTTTAGTTTACATTCGTCTTGTTTATTAAAAATAATTGCAAAAAAAAACATGTATATGAAAAAAAAAAACTAAAAAACTGATTACTGAAATTCTTGTAGAATACCATTGAAATGAGCGTGTAGAGAAAAAATTGTTTCTTTTTATAAATATGAGGATTTTTATATGAGTTTAAAAGTCATCGCGTTGGCTTTAAGCGCTAATTTATTACTGTCGCGTGGTATATATCCTGTCCTGGCTTAATACATTAAAAAACAAGCGATGCGACACGAAACGCCATTGTATATATCGAATAATTGCCTTTATCCAGAAAAAATGCCTTGTCCCATTTTCTCCTCAAATAATATCTTTTGATTTATTTCATTGTGGGATCCAAGACAGTCATTCATGTCCCTGGGACTTTAGTGTTCCGGTGTTTTCATGGTTGTATCTACTGTAGATCCCGGTGCACAGGAATTACAGCGGTTTTGAAAAAATGCTTTAAAAAGCTAGAGCTTGCTCTCCCGGTATGTAAGAGCAAGAAACATATATTTTGTTTCGTTTTTTTTGAATAATACTGCTACAGCCACGCAGTTCTCGCCTTTAGCCTAAAATAGAATTATTAAAATTTAACCAGCAGTTCCGGAGGTTAGCGCGTTGAAACAAACAAATTTCAGCTCTCATAATATTTAATGTATACTCAGTTTTTCAGTAATCAGTATTATTAAGTCTTATGGGTACCTGTAGATTTTAAAAATTAGCATTAAAAAAAACCTAGAAATTATAATGTAGTTCACAACTGTTTCGTTTTTTACTAAATACGCGAGTTTTTCGAAAATATTTTTAGTATCCTTGTTGGCTTATTAAGGTATCGTCATGAGCTAATGTTGACATGTAAACAGTGACTCATGTAGTGTAGAGATTGTCCAGTCAACTGATGGTAGCGTGGACTGTCCAGGCGATACGTACTTAGGTATCGTCATGAGCTAATGGTGACATGTAAACAGTGACTCTTGTAGTGTAGAGATTGTCCAGTCAACTGATGGTAGCGTGGACTGTCCAGACGATACTACTGTTATTTTATTACGACTAAGGTACCGAATAAATCGGAATTAGCGATTTTTAGTTGAACTAAACAAGAAAATAAAATCTCTTAGGTTATTTTAAATTTATAATGTAAAATAAAAATACGATGAAATGATAATATTAATAATTTTTACGTTTGTTTGTTACAAAAATGATCATTTTTAGCTGTATGAGTGAGGGTATTTCTCACTCTCTCGTAAAAAACATTTATTTCAATTAGATACAGGCACTTTTGAATGACAAACAAAATTTCAAAGACATAAAGTGTCAGTCTGTCGGTTAGTCCTCGAACAGGTTTCCGAAAGGCCGATCAATGTTAAAATCAATTTAATCTCTTGTCAAGTCGTCTGATTGGTTGACTGAATTATCAACAACCAATCAGATGACTTGACAAGAGATTTGACACCTAGTTAGTTGATTTTAATATTGATCGGGCCTTCGGAAACCGGGCATTAGTGAAGCTATTTGCTCATTCCAAAGTTCTAGTTCCGGGCCGAGACTGTATCTCCTCTAGTGTCTCTCTTGCTTACCATCAGGTAATTCGGCTGCTCGTTTGACTCCAATATGCCATTTAAGAACTACAATTCATTCCTAAAAATGAATTAGTTGATTCTTATTTCATTAAGACACTTTGTAAGAGGAGTTTTTATTACGAAAATTTACGGCCTGTTTGTAAATGACTAGTTTCCGACCGCGGCTTCGCCCGTGTTCTCGATAAAAGTAGCCTACCTGTCATTCAGGGTAACACCTATCTACGTAATACATTTCAACCAAATCGGTCGCTCCGTTTACATACATGCATTCTCATAAACTTTGAAGTTTATAATATTAGTAGAATATTGTTGTACTAACAACATTGGTAGCTGATGGCGAGTCCATTTCTGTGCTGGTCGCAGATCTAATCCTACCGAATCTACCATTTTGGTAGTAATTCTGTTTTAGTGAGAATGCCTTCGCAGTGTTTTTTTTTTTGGTGAGTGGAAAATCATCAAATCTTTTCTCCCGTTCTAGGTAGGGAGTGTCAGACTATTACTGGTTAAAAACCCCCACGTTCCTTCTATTGCTCTGGGCCGAGGCCCCGCAACCCCGGCTGAACATCAGCCCTATAGGGCCCCGTCTGTGGTGGTCTATTGGCTCTTTGAGGCGCGGAACGCTACGCGCCGTACGATCGGGTTTGGTTCTGGTCGGGCGGCGAATTACACTAACTCGCCGTCCGTAGACCCGCGTTTACGGTGCCCGGAGACCGTCTCTCGACCGATGATGATGACGATGATGATGATTATTCAATCAATTGGCTTTTAGTCATTCAGCCCTTTAGATAAATAGCTAATACAGTTCCAATTAAGTATTTCATTTGGTCATCCTTCCGTTTTATTTCATATTTGTAACAAATGAGCGTAAAACAAAAAATAAATTTTCGTGAAAAAAAAGTCTATGCAAAGGGATGGTATTGAAAAAGAATTTTCTTTTTTTTGTATATTTACTATAGGAACGTTTTAACAGGAATTTTTAGTTATAATGTCTAGATTTGGGTGCCGTCGGTTTTTTTAATACTAGATTTTTGGGTGACTAATTTTTCGGCATCGCTTAGTTCCTTTATAAGGATATATTACCATATAACTCACGGACTGTATTTAGCGTTTCTCCAAAAATTTTAAACCCATTTTTATCAAGAACTAGAGCCCCAAATTCTTCTGGGTAATATATCTCTCACACATACTTTGTCCGTGTCACAAAAGTGTGGGAGAACCATGCTTCGGCATGTATGGGTCGGCTCGACCGGAGTGATACCACGGCCTCATAGAAAACCGGCGTGAAACAACCACAGCGTGGTTTTACCGTGTGAGTAAGGCTACCGAAGGCTTTCATCCTTCCCCTCCCCCAGTACCTAAACCTCTAAAACCCCAATCCCTCCGTTGTTGTGTTAATGGGCGGGGTCGATTGCTTACCATCAGGTAATTTTTACTTATATCCCAAAAAATGGTATTAAAAAATCGACGGTCCATAAAAGTATTTGCATGGCACTTTGATTAAATGTTAATGATTAATAAATTATATTACTTAGTATTTTTGCAATTGCAATACCAATGTTATACTCTTTAAAAGGCTGGCAACACTATGTCCTCTGGTTTCGCGAGCTACGCTTATAGCTTTCCAACAGGTGTCCGTCTGTTCGTTGGCCGACCTATCACAAAAAAAAACGTTACAATTCTCTATAGAAATTATTTAGTCATCTTGTCATGTTAAAACAATAATCTAAAACTGTCTTAATGCTATTATTATTATTATTAAATTGTTAGGTATTATTAATAATTTCATTTGAAATGTAAACTCGAAATTTTAGTGATCATTTTCGTAATATTACAAAAGAATTGTGTCAGGTACAATACCGCCGACGTATCTTGGCGGGTCTGAAGTTAGTCGATTAGCTGCGCAGTACACAATTATGTTCCATAAGATCCATTGCGCAGACAAACGGCTAACTTCAGACTCGCCAAGATACGTCGGCCGTACTGTAGTCTAAATAAACTTAGTGAATGCGAAACTGCAACTCATTTTTAACTTTTCGAGCATGCTCGACTCATTTCGGGCCATACCGGGGCTCATGATCATGATCTATACTATATTGATAGTATTTTTTTTTAAATCTTATGTACATTGCGTACTAAGAGTTTTATTAGTATGGCATTTATATAATGTATTTTTCGCATAGAAATATACATTTCGGTGGTAGGTTGATTAAACGTGGATCGTTTTTACCCCACTCGTTTTTTAGCTATTTCCAAACACTGGAAATCTGATATTTGTTATGTACACATATTATAT